GAGAGTGAGGGAGTTGATATGGACACATCTGCGCAGGCGGCCTCCGGAGAGGAGGACCGCCGGGTCCAATGAATTGCCTTAGTTGGAACTGCCGGGGAGGGTGGAACACCCGGACAGTTCGTGAGCTAGCGACGTTGTGTAAGTCGCGTTCCCCCTTGTTGGTCTTTCTGTGTGAAACAAGACAAAAGGCAGAGAAGATGAAATGGATTCGAGCTAAACTTGGGTTGAAGGGCTTTTGTGGAGTGGATAGCAATGGATTGAGTGGTGGCTTGGCACTATATTGGAGAGAGGATTGTGTTGTGGATGTTTTGGACACGGATGACAGATTCATTGACATTGTCATCAAAGCCCGTGAAGGTGCACCGGAGTGGAGAGCTACTTTTGTATATGGGGAGCCTCGGGTGGAAAACAGACACCTAATGTGGACTAAGCTACAAGATCTAAAAGTTGTTAATAATTTGCCTTGGTTGGTTATCGGTGACTTTAATGAAGCCATGTGGGATTTTGAGCATTTATCGATCACGCCGAGGGCAGAAACACAAATGATAGCATTCAGGGATACCTTGGAGGTGTGTGAACTAATCGATCTTGGGTTCACGGGCCTGCCTTTCACATATGATAATAGAAGAGCGAGGTCGGCAAACGTCAAGGTGAGATTGGACCGTGCGGTAGCTACAAATGATTGGCGAAATTTGTTCACGTTTGCTGCAGTGGAACACATACCGTCTCCATGTTCATACCACCTAGTTCTGTTTCTTAAAGGAGAACCGGACCCGGGTCCGGTGAAGGAGAAGTGTAGGAGGTATGAGGTTTTTTGGGAGAGGGATTCGGAGTTGCCACAAGTGGTGGAAGATGCATGGGTGGCGGTAGGAGAGATTCACAGCCTCCCGCAGCTGAAAGAAGCTTTGGCAAAAACAATGACTGCGTTACGGTCATGGAGTAGGAAATTTGGCAATGTGACTCGAGAACTGGCCAAGTCGAGAAGCCAACTGGAGGAGCTTATGAATATGAATGCGAATAGGGAAGATATAAGGGAAGTGATGGATAAAATGAATGAGTTATTGTATCAAGAAGAGATGATGTGGATGCAAAGATCGAGAATTGCTTGGCTTAAGGAAGGAGATCATAATACAAAATATTTTCACAGTAAAGCAGTTTGGAGGGCGAGGAAGAATAAGATAAGGGAGTTAACTGACAGCATTGGGATAGTGCATACGGAGTTTACAGCAATGAGTCAGATTGCAAATGAATACTTTCAGAATATTTTTGCTGTGGATACTAACTTGCAGGCATCCGAAGTAGTAAACTTGTTTGAACGTGTGATCACACAGGCTAATAATGATAGATTATGTGCACCGTTTACTGATAAGGAGATTTCCGATGCCTTGTTCCAGATTGGGCCGTTGAAGGCACCAGGCCCAGGCAGGTTTCCCGCTCGTTTCTTCCAACGGAACTGGAGTACGGTGAAGGAGGGTGTGATTGCTGCAGTCCAGGATTTTTTCAGTACGGGAGTCATGCTTGAGGGTGCTAATGATACATCCATTGTGCTTATTCCAAAAATATCCAATCCCTCAAAGATGGCGGACTATAGGCCTATAAGTCTTTGTAATGTCACATACAAGATAATATCCAAATGCCTGGTTAACAGATTAAGGCCCTTGCTGGATGACATAATTTCGGCTGAACAAAGTGCGTTTATACCAGGCAGGATGATTACAGATAATGCATTGGTTGCCTTTGAGTGTTTACACTATATTAAACAAGAGAAGGATCCATCTAGGAGTTTTTGTGCGTATAAGTTGGACTTGTCTAAGGCTTATGATATAGTGGATTGGGCTTTCTTGAAGTAGGTGATGCAAAGGTTAGGGTTTTCCCATCGATGGATTGACTGGATAATGGCGTGTGTCACATCGGTGAGGTATTCGATAAAATTAAATGGAACCCTCCTGGATTCATTTGCACCGTCGCGTGGGCTACGGCAAGGAGACCCACTCTCTCCGTTCTTGTTCTTATTTGTGGCAGATGGACTTTCAGCTATTTTGAAGAATAAAGTGCAAGTTGGCGATATTGTTTCAGTAAAAATTTGCAGGAGAGCCCCGGGCATATCCCACTTGCTTTTTGCAGATGATACCATGCTGTTTTTTCAGGCTTCGAGGGACCAAGCGGAGCAGGTAAAAGCAGCCTTGGATCTATACAGCACGGCTACGGCCAAAGTTTGAACTATGAGAAGTGTTCGATATTTTTTGGTGAGTCATGCCCGGTTACAAATCAAGAGCATGTAAGAGACGTTCTACACGTCACAAGTTTGGTTTTTGAGGAGAAGTATTTGGGTCTCCCCACGCCCGAAGGACGAATGTCGAAAGGTAAGTTTCAGAACTTGCAAACAAGTCTTACCAAAAGACTTGTCCAGTGGGGGGATGGCTTTTTGGCTCAGCCTGGTAGAGAGGTGCTTATCAAGTCTGTCGCGCAAGCTTTACCCACGTATATAATGGGTGTGTTCAAGCTACCATTTTCGGTGTGTGACGATCTTACAAGAATGGTGAGGAATTTTTATTGGGGCTCAGAGAAGGGGAAGAGGAAGGTTCATTGGAAGGGTTGGGATCATCTTATGCAGCCAAAAGAAAGAGGTGGGATTGGTTTCCGAGATTTTCGAATATTTAACCAAGCCCTTCTGGCTCGTCAGGCATGGAGATTAATCACAAGGCCAGAGAGTTTGTGTGCTCGTCTACTCAAAGCCAAATATTACCCGACTGGTAAGTTAGAGGATATTGTGTTTTCTGGTAATGCATCATCGTCCTGGTCGGCCATTAGTCATGGTTTGGAGCTTTTGAAAAAGGGTTTAATTTGGAGAACTGGCAACGGAAGAAGTATGCGGGTGTGGAGGGATAGCTGGATTCCCCTCCCTTACTCGTATAAACCGATCTCACGGCAAGGGGTGTGCCGATTTAGATATGTTTCAGATCTGCTGAATGAGAACGGCTCCTGGAAAGTACAAATTCTGAACCAATATTTCATGCAAGCTGATGTGGTCGAGATCCTAAAGATCAGAGTTTCACCCAGGCAGTGCGAAGATGTCCTTGCATGGGGACCAGGTAAGTTGGGGGTTTTCTCAGTAAAAAGTGCGTATCATCTGGCGTTTGACGAGGCGCACAGGTCCAATATATCGGCCTCTAGCTCGATGCCTTCTGGTGAGAGGAGCTGCTAGAAGTTCATCTGGAAATGTGGACTGCCGCCAACAGTGGCAAATTTTGCATGGAGAGTTGCCACGGATGGGTTGCCAACGTGGAAGAACAAGCACAAGATTGGCTTGGAGACCACAAGTATTTGTCCAGTCTGTGGCGTAGACACGGAGGACAATTTTCACCCGTTCTTGAGGTGTCAACTAGGAAGAGATCTTTATTTGAATATGGCAAAAGTCTGGAACTTACCCCGGCTTCAGACAATTACTAACTGTGGAAAGGAGTGGCTCCTGCAATTGCTAGCTCCTAGAAGTGATATGGAACGGTGTATGATCCTCCTTGTTTTCTGGAGAGCGTGGTATATTCGCAATGAAGTGGTGCATTACAAGCCGACGCCACCGATGGATACATCCGTAAGATATCTACAGAGTTACTTTGCCTCTCTTATGACCATCACGATTGACAGTGGTGCCGACCCAGTTAAAGGGAAGTCATACATCACAGTGGAGAAGAAAGGACAAAGGGATATGCATAGTTCAAAAATGCCTGGATGGGAGAAGCCTAAGCAAGGGTGGACTAAGCTAAACACAGATGGAGCCTTTGTGGCATGTGATAATGCGGGTGCGGGCATGATCTTGCGGAATGATGTTGGCAAAATAATTTTCTCTGCTTGCAGGGCACTACAGTATTGCCGAGACGCTTTGGAGGCGGAACTTCATGCATGCTTGGAGGGGTTATCTTCGGCGGTCCAGCATACTTCTCTTCCAATTCAAGTTGAGATGGACTCGTCTGTTGTCGTTGCTATGATCACTAGTGGTGATGTAGATCATTCACTTTATTCGTCGTTGGTTAATGAGATTAGGGTTTTACTAAACCATCATCAAGCTTGTATTACTCATATCGCTCGTTCACAGAATAAGGCGAGTGATAAGCTAGCGTATTTTGGCCGTTCTAATAATCGTACTATGACTTGGTTAGGGTCAGGTCCTCCTGAAGTTTTGGAGGTCGTTGCTGAGGATTGTATTGATACTAGGATTGAGTAATACAAGTTTTTGAGTTCGCAAAAAAAAGCATGGGCTAGTGCCCAACTAGGCCTCGCTTGGTGGCTTTTCAACAGCCCATCGTTCCGGAACGGGACATCTCTGATCTCTCGTTCCCATCGACTAATCTTCCCCAATCCGACTCAAGCGGCGGCCGTCGGCACCACCACCACCAACCTCCGCCACAGCCAGCTGTCACACTAGCGCGAAGCACCCCAGCACGGCGTGGACAGGCGCATGGGCACCAAGCCTCCCAGGCCTGCGGCTCACCGTACATCGGTGCCGTCGGAGAGGGGCCGCATCAGCCAGCCGACCGCCTCCGCTCGGGAGGCGCATGTGCTGATAACGTGTTGAAAGAAAACGAGAGACAATCGATAGTATTGAAAACTGTCTATTAATGATGACAAGTTACATATTTGTAGTCTCCAAAGAGACGCATCCGGAGGGACACGGCGCTTACAAAAGTCATAAATATGAGTGTATGTTATAAGAGTATATGATCTCCATTCCTTGATGGATCAATAAGAACGAAAGAAAATGTGAATAAGCTTTCAACAGAATCAATTTCAGTGTGTATGTATAATAAGGTTGCTCTACCATCTACAAAAATAGATAAATGGAAAAGGGAGAGAGAGCTGCCATTAGATGGAAACCGATAAGCATATATTCAGCTTACACAAAAGTAGAATGTCTACTTGCTTCTTTACAAACAAAGCCAAGGCTGTACCTGGATATAAACACCCTGGTATATGTAGCAAGGGATTCGTTTTTTTTTAAATGCCTAAGAAGCTAGCAGACATTTATCTATTTTACACAAACTAACTCCGTTACTGAAATTCCAAATACATGGCTTAGCTCCCCAAAGAAATGAATCCAATATTAACTTATTCACATGCACCACCTATTGATAGAGTATTTATTATTTAAAGCATTATTTCAACAAATCAAAATATGCCTTATACAAAAGAAACAAAGTGAGTAGGTAGCAGTAGAACACTTTGAAACTTCATAACATCTAAGAAATCAGCGTTGTAAGGTTACGCAACACAAACGTGATCATTGTCTCGTATTTGAAGCTTCAGTTTGGCAAACATCATTATCTGGGTTCAGTGGTAACATTCTAAAAGAACTTTTATCTCCCTGAATTATTATGAGAGAAGGTTGATTGGCACAATCAGATTAAGTAGCAAAACTTTATTTTTTGTTTGTCAATAAAATCCATGTAGGTCAAATACCAAATTATAGTTATTTGAAATTAGAGATGTCAAATATGAAAATATAGATGTAAAAAATGGAAGATGGAGAACAAGGTAAGTCTAACAGTTTCCTTAGGAACAACAAAAGCATACCTTCTGAGGATTTATTCCAGTAGCAGCAACATATAAATCCAGCTTCCCTATAGCAATGTCAATACCTTGCACCCCTAGATCACCAAGGCCCAATATCCTGCTTCCTGCGAGTTGTGAGATGGCTGCACATGGGCCATTTACAATTGGTGTCCCGAGTATCATCAGCTGCTGCTGCGCGTGTGTGGGCGCTGGTTGTGTCGGTGCACCTCTTAGTAGAGAAGAAATCCTTTTTTCACACCTTTTCATCCCTGCCAAAACAACCTCATCCATCTTCCCTTCCCTCCTATGCCTTCTCTCCTAAGGATCAGATCGAGCCGGGAAGGTCAAGCGGCAGATCCTCTTCCCTGCTGCTTTGCCCGCCGCATCTTTCTCGGCCAAATCAACCGACACACGCACCGGCAAACAAATCCGAGCTGGCTCCTTGGCCACAACCACAGCGGGTCATTACCCAATCACGGATCTCTCTCCTTCTCTTTTCCAACCTCGCCACCGGATGCTGCTCTGCCCTAATCATAATCTCGGTGGTGTAAAATTTCCTGGTCACAACCCGCAAACATGAGGAAAGTGCTTGGGGCACTGAAAAAATGTAGTGCCTTAAGGGAAAAGACCTCCACGCGAGAAATAACCTCTCCAACTTGTATGCAAAGGCTATTGGTTTGATCTGAATTGAAACAACAAAAAAAACAGATATAGAAACAGAGAGAAGCCAAGAAGTGCATACCGGACACTGTTGAACAGAGCCAGGTTTGATCATAAGGCGGCTAACCTCCTGCACACACAAAATCTAGTTAGCAATACTTCAAGTTAATGAAGGAGGGAATAATCGGATGGAGACATGCATTGTGATCTTTAAATAGGAGGAAAAATAATAGGTAATGAAGTATATTTGTTTCAAATGAGAACGTACATACAGGCATATAGACATACCCAAGAATTATTTTCCAACAATACCTACAATCTAAACCTAATAGCTAAAATCATTTGCACCTGCGCGTCCAAACAAACACATAAACATCAAAATTTGAAGAATTGCTACAAATAATACAACCATCAGTTTAACATCAGATTATCAGCTTGTATTATCACTTCAGGGGGAAAGACCATTTGCCCAGAGAAGTATCAGTATAAATTTGCCATTCGTCATTTTCCTTTGTTCTGGAAGCGTCTTCTTGAACGTAGACTACACAAGGTCAAAGAATTTAATTATGTTAGTGTGGCTGATGACTCGTGTGACATACATTTCTCAAAAGATTAATGATGGGGACAGTTTTTACACTGCATGCCCAATAGAACCAGTAAACATGTGATGAGAATATTTCCATAACATAAAGGTTAGGACAATTAACACAATCTTTTTTTTTTTTTGTGAGAAGACAAATCAACACATTCTGTATTGGAAGAAAATGTTTAATTCAAATTTTGACTGAAACCTTGACTGAGCGAAGTGAAACACCACCACATTATGTGGTAGCCAAATCTGCACAAGGTGTAGCTTGCAGATGGGATACCATGGACTGCACGAACAAATCAGACTGAATAACTATCCAGTTCCAAAATTGCATGAAACCAGTTTTAGAATTAAGATATTCAGGAAGGCTATGCCTCTATCAACTAAAACTTCTTACTCATTTATTCACCGCATAGAAGCAAGTAATCAACTAATAATAAATCAGACATAAAGGATTAACTGTAATTAATTGGCTAGGGTGCTCACTGGAAGAACTTTTTGCATAGAAGCAGACCTTGCAAACCATGGGATGATTTAGGTGGATATGAAACAACGCTTGTCCTCACCTGGTCTTGCAGTCCTGCTCCAACCCCTCGTATGCCTTGTCATAGTCCGCTCCAACCTAGTCACCTCCTTGAGTTAGCATGAAGGTCAGATCAGAGAAGGAGCAGCAGTGGGGAAGAGAAGAGGGTTTGGGGAAGAGAAAAATACAGGAGGAAGATCACCTTTCAAAGCTGCGCACACGCAAGAGAGGCGTTGAGAAGAAGCGGCGCGGATGGTGGCGCTCGACGTCTTCATCCGTTTGTGCCTCCTGGCGGCGATGGTGACGCGTGAGCTCGACGGAAGCCTGGATCCGTCTGTCCCGGTGGCAAGCACAACTCCTCCCCGCGCGCAGACCAGATCATGCGGTCGGCGGCGACAGAGAGTGAGCTGAGGCGGGTGGTGAGCCATGGGGTTGGGGACGATGGCGACCCATCCTTCTAGCAGCTAGTTCGGCCGGATCGATCCGCTGCCTCACACGCGGAGGCAGAGCACGAAGATCAAAACCGCCGCCGCCGCCTTCTCCTCCCACGGTCCCACCCACTCCTCCCTCGAGACGACGACGTTGGTGTGACTGCGTAAGAGAGCCGAGCCAGTTCCACTTGTGCTGGCGACGCTCGTGCGGCCGGTTACATGGAGGAGGCGGAGGCGGCGGTTTCGTCAGGGATGTTGCGTACGAGGAGCGAGGAAAAGGTTGCTTCGTGGGAAAGAGAAAGCAGAGGACAGCCCTTGGGAGATGGATGTAATCCAACCTCAGAGTGGCTCAAAGTCCACCTACACTGGTACGCATCGGTGCTATACAAACGGTTTTTATTCCTTTTCCGTGACGGCATTTGAAACATGTAACATCTCAAATTTTTAATTTGAAATATTATACATAGGCCATTCATTCATGCATATCATATTTTGTTGCATTTTGCTTTGTGATCCTCGAAATTCTAAGCAACTCAAGTATCTACGCAGAGAGCTGGGAATTTCGTTATTTTCATATTTTAGTTTTCTCAAATTTTGAAAAGAGAATCATTTGGTTTTAATTATCTCCCCTTCCCCCGGAAAATATTTCATACTAAAATATATGAGAGGAGATAATATGACTTCTCCAAAATAAATGAAATATTAGAGGAAAAATATTCAAATCAAATAAGTTATTTTATTTGGGTTTTATTACGATTTTATTTGAATTAGGAAAAAATGTGTTTTTCAAAATCGCATTAGAGGTCTAAATAAATGTTCACTTTGTCCGCAATATTATTAGAGGACCATAAAAATTTATTTCAGAATTTTGAAGTTCGTTTAGTATTTCTTTTATTTGTTTTTTGCGTCAGGATTTATTTAAAAAAAGGTAACCAACCTAGCGGGCCGTGTCCAACCTGGACACTTGACCCGGCTGGCCTTATAAGCCGCGCCCCCGCGACCCCGAGGCCCAGCAAGCCGCCAGCCCCGCCCGAAACCCTAGAGCGCGCCGCCCCGTCCTAGCGCCGCCGCCGCACGTCACCGTTCAGCCGCCGCCGCATGCCGCCGACCTCGCCGAGGTAGCCGCCGCCGCCGCCGGTTTTCGCGAGAAAACTGTTCGGTTTTTTAAACCCTAGTTCATTTTTTAGATCGGTTTCTTTTCGGTTTTTCTCGGTTTAGTTAAATAGCAGACGTTCGTCCGTAAGTTCGTTTTGACGAACGCTGTTCACCCGTTAGTCGCAGACAGCGAACGTTCGTTCGTTAGCCTATTCGTCAGTTTTCTTTTTCCAGGGTTTTTCCGCGATTATTTTCGATCGCGATTTCTGCCCTAATCTTTGTTCTAGTATATCTTTTCGCTCGTATATTAGAATCAGGTGAAACAAGCGCCTAGATCTTCGTCTCGAAGCCCTTTTCTGTTTAACCAACTTGAAAAAGATTTTGATACCGTAAAATTTGACTTTAGTCCAGATTACTAATCGGATCTTATTTCTTTCATAGTTTGAGTTTCGTTGCTCCCTTTGATTTGATTCTTTTTTGCAAACCGGAGTTCTTCAGTTGAACTTTCTGGTTAGACCTTCTTATTTGAGTTTCCCCGTGCATCTTTGCTTGATTGCTTATGTATGTTATTGTTTGTTTGCGATAGAACACCCGGAGTGCGAAGCGTGCTACTACGAGTCTCTAGATTTTGCGGATCATCAGCAAGGCAAGTAACACTTTGATCATCCCCCTTTATCACCCTGTTTTATGCATTAGTTTCAACCCTCACACATTGCATGAGTAGAATCTCTTAACATGTCGGTCTGGGAAGTAGATGATGAGGTAGAACCTATTACCAGTTTTATTATCAAACCCATGGGAGTTACTTCTACCTTATGCTTATATTGCTATATTAGCTCGTAGACGTGGTTTGGGTTTGAGAGTATCCATGACAGATGTGAGTTGTTAATTAATGGTTCAACTTAAGGTGGCAACTTTAATACACATCTGGGTGGATTACTTGTGGGCACCTGGAGAATCCAGTGTTGTCCTAGGATATCCCGGAGTACCCATGTGATCATTCTATGGTCCGCCACCCAGGCTCAAAGGGATCATAAGATTATTCATGCTAGAAACTTCCGTCTGCAGCCACAAGCCATTATGGGCTCTGACATAGTTGAGTATGTCGTGTGACCTCTTTCAGTGGCGGGCTAGCAGATGTAGGGGAAAGTAGGTGTAACGGTCCACCCAGAGTAAAGAGTTAATGCTTCTAAAAGACTGTGTCTCGGTCATCCGTTTCTCAAACACCATGTAGTGCGAGAAATCCAACGGAGGAGATCGAGTCTTGTGGGAAAAGTGCGCAAACCTCTGCAAAGTGTATAAACTAATCATGGTTAGCCGTGTCCCCGATTATGGACATCTTGAGTATCTGGTACTTGAATTATTGATTTGATCTCATCACTCTAAATTGATTTGTTGGGATGTTAATGACCACTTTAATTGGGATTGAGTTGGAGGAACCTTCTCAATGATGTTTCAACTACCATGATAGTTAAAATGAAATATATTCCTTTATTGTAGGGAAAATTTGGCTTTTCGCAAAAACAATATAACCATAGAGCCTCCAACAGCCATATATGCATGTAGTGATAGCCTTTATCTGTTCATTGTTCTCTTGTGTTACTTTGCCAGTATATTCCATGTGCTGATCCATTCTCGGGCTGCAACGTATCATGTTGCAGACTTTTCAGACGACGAGTGAGATTCCGTAGGTCGTTTGTCATGCACCCAGCTATGCCGTTGGAGTTGATGGACTCACTTTATCTTCCAAGCCTTCCGTTGTTATCGTAATTAAATGGCCTTAAGCCATACTTATTGTAATAAGTTTTCTTTTGAGACATTCGATGTAATAAGTGTGTGATTGCTACTCTGTTATAAATCCTTCGAAGTACTGTATATGTCAACATTACTGATCTAGGGATGACACTGAAGCACAAAGACTTCCGTCTGAGGTCGGGTCACTACAAGATGGTATCAGAGCACACGCTGAATATAGGACAAGATGAGCCATGGA